ACACGAAACGTACAGAACCCGAGATTTGTCATATTTTTCCCGAATACCCAAATCAATGGAGTCAATGTTCATCACCATTAACTCATTTTAGCTTCTGATCTTTACTTCAAACTGGTCTACTTTCTGTGCCACAGCATTCAATTCAGTACAAATGCCAATACCAATAAATAAATAAAGTTGTGCTTCTATGGCAAAAATTGTAAAAGATGCTGCTTTTAATATATATAAACACAATTAAAATAAAATAAATATCAAACACTGTTTAAATATTGACAACATAACTTTAAAACTGATAATACAACTCTATGCTCATAGAACATGACAAGCTCATAACACTATTAACACAGATTTTAATCCTCAATGTAGAAAAATTTTAGTATTCTTTTGAGTCTACTTACTGACAACTATATTTTTAATCAGACTTCCTAATCATAATTAACAACAAAAGCACAAGTACATTGGCCCCACTCCCAAATTTACTCTGTGTGGAATATCATCACCCGGAGCTGCCGAACCTGGGCAGATGATGCGCCAGTTGTATCAGTTACAGATATAAGAGGCAAAGAATACTTACCACAACCATTACTTAACTTAGTATTGGCTAGATGCTGAAAATTTAAATGTATCACACAGATGCAATATCAGTCTTAGTGGTAATTTAAAATAAATTGCCTTTAGTGCCCATAAAGTGGCTCCACCATCACAAATAAAACAAAATTAGAGTATGTACAAACACAGTCGTTTCTCCAATTACACATTTTTCATTTACATGTTTTCATTTTAAAGCTGTTGAAGAGTATGTACCACTTTTTCACTTACGTCACTACACTTTAACACAGCTACATGATCAGCAGAAATAAACATTTTATTTATATGTCATATCTGCAACTGTTTATCATCTGGGAGTTCAATTATCTTATGAAAAATTAACTTTTCATTTGTGCCGAATTTTCCAGGAAGAAAATCTATCGCGTGAATGGAGAAACGACTGGCCATTTCCCTCATTCACCAGTTAGAAACTGTTACAATGTTGGTTAAGAAAACCAGAGCTAACTACCACCTCAGAGAAAGACGTGTACGTAAGTTACGACATACAGTTCTGTTAGTGACAAGAAGGAATGCACATACTTAAGTGATCGACAGGACACCTTGTCAGCAAGCACCGCAGCGATACAAATTGCCGTACCATTTTGTTGAAAGTTTTGTTTGAATTGGAACTGCATATTTTTACACCATACACTCAAATCCTACTCTTATGTACATTAAGACAAACAGGTTTACGGAGTTACAGTTTAGTAAAAGCAAGGAAATAATCTCATTTCTGAAAAAGAGGCTCATAAAGTTTGTCAATTTTGATATTTCATAAGTGAGTCACACAATAAACATGCAAGTAAAATTAAATGCGGTTAACACGTAAGCAAGTTAACGCAAGTTAAGTGCATTTCACATTATTTTTTGTGTTTCAAGTATATAGAGACCACACTGCAGTTGCATGTCCTGCAAGATACACAGAACTTCATTAGTTATAAGTACATCAAGTCTTGCCAACCGCATAAATTACACCACAACTGGCCACGCCAAGATCTTACGGTAAACTGGGGTGGGGAAAACAAAAAAACATGGTTTGCACAACTGAATGTAACTGAAGAATCACGGTTGGTTAGTGACTGCTATGAAGTAGCTGGTTTTGGTTATATCTTCTTATATTTTACAGAATTAAAGAATGCTGAACTGCAAACTCGTAAACGAACGGCTCCCATGCGCGTGTTACCATGAGCTTCAGTTTCTAATAGCTGAAATAAGAGGAAAAACAAACTGTTTGTGTAAGTTAGTATTATCTACTTTTGATTAATTAAAATCTAAAATATGCCTTCCTCTGTTCAAAACCTATTTGTGGGTTCAAGTGGGTTAATACAGAACCAATGATTCTGCCTCATACTTGACGGACGCCTGGTTTCATCCCAGGAATATACTATCCGACGGTTTTCTTTGATCCAGTGTCAGGGAACGACCTCAAAAACAGGCCACGGCCACATTATCCTGTATTAACCCCAACCATCAAAGCACGTCCCCCTTCACATCGCGTCTATTCCTGCACTTGACGCAGCCATCATAAAACAACTGAACAGCCAAGCCCTTATTTCTACTTGAGACATGAAAGAACAACAGAAAATAGTTGAAAGAAATTAATCCATTAAATTAGGTGTTGAAAGGATTAAAATGTTTGACTTTACGTACTATAACAAACATCAAACTAAAGGCCTTTATAGAGAAAAATAAAATCTCTGTGAAATGTACATGCTCAAGTCTGATGATGTGACAATTGAGCGTTAAAATACCTAGCTTCAATAGACTTTTTAACCAAACTGCAGTGAAACATCAACATGAAGACTTTCACTATTATCACTTGTTGCCAAATCCCTTATTTGTCATGCAGCTGATCTTTATGGAACTGATGTTCCACACTCCGCTAACAATACGGCATATCCTTAGCATCTTACATCATACAGTGAACTGGCGATCAATAAACCAGGAATAAAGAACAACCAATGAAACCGAAGGCCCTGTGGTAATAAAAGGTCAGGGAAAAGAAACTGGAGTTAAAATCAGGAGAAATAGAAAACAATAACAAAAATTAATAACCTGATTGTCTCCTTAAAAAATAACAAACATAAATATGTTTCAGTGTAAGACTTGAAGCCTTCACACTGACAAACATTATTTTAGAGCAGTCTCCAGTGGCATAACGTCCATACCAAAATTTAATCCAAATCTATCTAGGGGGATCTCGAGCTGAATTACGTCGGCAGACAAGTGCCGACATCTTTAGCGCCTGAGAACGTGGCAATAACATTGCAATTTGATACCTGACAATAACTTCTTTTATACAGTCAGTACACAAAATTTAAACATCACTGAAAATTAGTTAACACGGATGCTGCTGTCTTGCGGGTGGAATAAATCATTTCAGTTTCATGACTGCTGCTGAGCGACACTTAGTTCTGACCACATGAATTTTTCTAAAAATTGCAACCTTTAACATACTTCACGTCTCTAGGCGTTTCTTGGCCAGAGGGATTCATTCTGGTACAGAGGATTTTTCCTCTAGCCTCTGTGTCCACCCTGCCCCCTGTAGAATGGGTACAGGGGTGCTTTCCTGGGGGTAAAGCACGGTCGGAACGTGACGCTGACCACTCACACTTATCAGTACTCCAGAAAAGCCCACTGAGAGCAACGAACACGTCCGTACGCCATGAAGATTTGCATTTCTTATTATAATAAATAGGAATTTTAAGAGACGAGTTGGGATTCTTTGGTGGCCACCATTTTAAAAGCTGTGGGTTAAACAATGAACGTGGAGTGACCGATTATGTCGTCTCCCACATATTTAATTAAACCTTGAAAGAACCAACACAATTTCAATCAGCATGCTTCAGAATTGCAATGACGTGGGGCATGGAATCTGCCCTCGGTTATAGTCCGCGTCATGTTCTGCTACTGTTGGAAATTCGAAGCACGAGGGACAATCAATCAGACGTCAACTCCATGACAGCTAACAGACACAAATACCAAATACAATTAAACCCGAAATAACTGCCAAACAGATGGTCTCTACATACTTTCATTCTGCGTATTTCATACATTAGTGCAAATTGTACTTCACCAATTTGTATTTCTTTCAAATTGACTGTGTAACATCATTATGCAGTTGACTTTCAACAAAATCTTGGTACTCGCCGAAGGCCTCTACGAAGCGTGACAAATAACCAGAATGGCGTTTTTGTGTAGGAAGAAGCAACTCTCTCTGCCTAGCTGGAGCACATACCACAAGACTACGTGATTCAAGTCTTGTCATACGGTGATCGGGACTCGGTTCGTTCTGTGGCTGCAGTATTTTGTTGCTAATTTGCCAAAATCATCGGGACAAACAATGATAGACCTTTCCAGAAATACTACTGAAAAAAAAATTGGCAATTCCGGTGGCGACGTCTAAGGACTCCACCCTTCCAGAAACGAGAAGTCAAAGTCATCAATGCAGACCATCAGCCACGGACAAAAGTTAAAATGATCCTGACATCAGTTGCGCCTCCCAACGCGATCTGTTCTTACAAAAAGACTAAACCAAGAATTGGACCATCAGGTTCCGGATCGACATGTTACAGAATCAGCCCGGTTATTTGTCAGACCTCGTACATCACAGAATTGCCACTTGCAATACGATCATTTCACACCAGGTGACCTATGGCAAGCGATATTAGAGCCCAACAACATCGCTGCTAGTCTGAGACGAAGACAAAACTCTCAACTGATTTCTGTACCTCAAAAAAGCAAGGATGATCATTCTTTGGCTACTGTACTCTGGATGAAAGACCTCTGGCCTGCGCGCGCAACTTTATTCTGGACCTCATCGTCCAGACGACACAACCTCACCTCACGCACTACTTAGATCACTTTTGAACACACGAGCCACCAATCTTGTCTTTTTTTTACTTCGAGGGGGACAGAAAGTTTCGAGGCAACTGCGAGACGGGCAGCGTCGCGAGAAGAATTACGTATTTCAAAAACACTTCAACAGATACCAATCTCTCTCCCTCTCCCTCCAAGGAGCGTTTCCTGTATCCATATTTGTTTTACGACGTACAAGGAGGCATACACACGCCGTTATATAAGATTCTCGACATTCCTGAGCATAATTTCAAAATGGGGGTGGGAGAGGAATGTAAGGACCCCCCCCTCTCGGGGATCTCTCACAACAGGGACACTTTTGAATTTCCTATAGCGCGACGTTCGGATTTTGGCCACGATTTTAAAGTGAAAAGTTCCTCCTAATTTTTCACACCGACATCGAGAAAACAGGTGTGATCCAGAGCAAGGGGAAACCGTGCAAGAAACACTGACGTCCCTGTGCCTGCGAAGTAACAGAAGATTTCTAAGAGAGTACGAAGACCATTAGGAAGAGGAGTTTACGGAGGCTAATTTTATAATTTGATTTTACGCCACGTTTTACTTATATCGGAATATCTAAAAAAAAATAACATGACCCTTAAAACTGCCAAAGAAGATAAACTGCTTACCCTTTGAGGCAAAGATTAATCAGATAAGATCGTTAAATAAAGCCAATTCTACCGGAAAGCAAATAAAATTATTAATAAAAAACGTTGCTGTCATTAGTAAGGCGTATTTATCGAAGGAAGTTCAGGGGAACAAGAATGCAAGCAATCTGAGGGCAGTTCGATCTATCGAGTTCAAATACCAAAGAAACGATGGAACGGCGACTCGAAAAATCCACGGAAGTTGAAGTTTCGCGGGACCTTAGAGGAATGCGTGCCGGGTCGTTGGTGCTGATGAGCGTCGTACATCCGACGTTTGGCGTCTGTTGAAACCAAGCACATATATCATACATATATACACACATAACAATTACGATGGCTTCCACCTTCGAGCGGCTCCAGGCTGTCGAGAAGCTGCTTCAAGGGGGACAAAGAGAAATGTTAAATGAAGGGGCGGGGATTTGAAGAAATCATCATTGAATTTCAACAAATGTTTTCATACACCGAAGTCTCTGATGGAATTTTCCTTCGCTCTTTCCAGAACAATGCCGAGGCACTGTTTTCAAGCAAGAAACAACAAAGCAGAACCAATTACAATCTGCGTTACAAAGTTCAGTCAAGTAAAAATCAGACCCATCGCCGGCGTCGAGCAACTCCACTGTCTCTCATTCAAATACCGAAGAAACGATGGAACGGCAATCACAAAAATCCTTCGTGGACCTCCAGTAGACTGAAAGGCGGATCGTACATCTGACGTTTCGTGTCTGTTGCAATCAAGTGCACACGCCCACACAAGGACTCAAGATTTTTTCCGTACGGTAATACTTGCTTTTTCTTCAGTTTAAAACCTTTCACTGTTGGACCTCACGCGAATACATTCGAGCAATTTAACATATTTTACTTCGCCAACAAGGGACACTATTTCTCTGATGCAAGTGCTCCCAAAGGGGTTTATACGAATTACGGAACCCCCAACACCTCACGGTAGAGGCCGACACGTCAAGGACAAAAAAGAATTAGAACATCAGACGAACTATGCACCTACGTACAGAAATGAAGACACAAAATGTGTTCTGCTGCAACGCTGGAAATGTTACCGGAAGTCGACAGTCGTCATCGTTTGTCTCGGGCTCTGGTTCCGCTAGTTCCTCTGGGGACCAGAAAAGTTCCGAAGACAAAATTTTCGGAAAAGCTAATTTCTATTTTCTGGGAGGCGCCAGTAGGTTTCCACTGGCCATTGATTTTTAACAAGCCAGTCTCACAGGGTGTGCTGCTTCAGTCTACGAATCGATTACGGGCGGACAACACATGGCAAACGACGACGACCTCCACTGGAGGCGAAGAGAACAGCTGGTCGACGTTCCTTGTTCAACCCGTTGCCTTGAAGTGAACGCAACCAAACTAAAGCCAGTCGCCAAGGTTGCTCACATTATCTCATAAATTACACAGGCAACAGAAATACTTACCGTCAGACAGAACTTCGTACGCTTCTGAAATTTCTTTGAATTTTTTATTTGCTTCGTCCAAATTATCTGGATTTTTATCCGGATGCCATTTTAGTGCTAATGTCCGGTACCTGAAAAAAAAGCAAATACACGGAATTTTGAACATCTGCCTCGCTAAATCAATTCCATGTCACGTACAATGTAAATCGCGTATCCACCGACAGCATTACCGCGTGTTAAAAGTCTGCCTTCGAGAGTTCATTAGCCGATCTGAAAGCGAGAGACAATGCACACGGAAGTCATTTTTCTTTACATTAGGGTCTACATGACAGAGTCCTGCATTTTGCAATTACCGATTGCCATACATAATTCTAGGGCCCCACATGAAGTGGCCAGAGCGTTACTCCCCACCTCATCAGTTCGCGCCAGCCATTTGCGGGAATTTAAAAATTGAGCAGTTTTACTTTATATCAGCTTTGGATTCACAAACTCTGCACAAATCGATTCCTTCACGTTTCAAAATACGACTATTTCAGAATCGTGAAACCCCCATCACAAAGAACTAAAACAATTTTGTGTAATTTTCATGAAGACTCCCTTCGACATCGAAGTCTCCGAAATCTATCGACGTAAACAATTTTTGGCCAATGATAAATCACACAGCAAACTTTATTTGTCGACCTGGGTCAGTCGGTTACTGCGCAGGCAGACTGCACTTCGACTCCAAACTTGTCCGTCGGTCCACCCATCGCCCGGCAGGCGTACTGAAGCTGTCTGCCTCCTCCTCGAAATCAATACCAGGCCAAACCAAAAGACCTTGGAGCGAGGTTTATTCCGAGGCCCTCGATCAGCTCTGGAGACGAGGGTGGCGATTGCGTAATTCTGGAACATTCCACGACGGCCCAATTCCTTCTGGTGGGACGAGGCGAACAAATGGAAAATGCCATCAACCTCGGTTGCCACTCCGTTCTTGTCAGGAGTCCAGACATTTATCGTAGGGAAACAAGCCGGGGTTTGACCCACGGATTTATCCGGCTACAAGTCAGAAGAGAGCTTGGAGGCGCTTTTACTCCTATGAAAGAATCTCCGGTATCCACTAAAAGGCAGGCTGGGTGGACCGCGTGACCAACAGGACATAACATAACCCAGCCTTTTAGGAAGGCGGACCACTCTGAATGTGCTACCAGGTCGGAAGGGGTCCGTGGTGCCACGAAACCAGTTCCTCGTACTTACGCCTTCTTGATCTCCGCTGTGGTCGCATTTCGCGAAACGTCCAGGACCCGGTAGTAGCTGACCATGATCCCAGCCAATAGAGTTACAGTTGCTGCCGGTGACCCCTAGTTTTCAGTCAAGCGACCTCACAATATCTGGAAAACAAACAGGACAGGTTAGACACCGCCAGCGTTGGAAGTAGCGTCATTAACAACATTTACGATCAACTTCAACTAAGGAAGGATGGTACACATTATATTCTAAGCGAAACGCCGTGAAATATATCGACTTCACCACACAAAATCAAGTACATATTAAAAGCAGGTCACCGTTCTGCTTCCAGGATGCAAATGGCCACTACGATTTTGATGACTGTATGAAAAATATCTATCGATAACGGGATTGCATCTTTCGAAATTTATCCCGGTGAACAGCACCCACAGCCAGAGTAGGCGTGGTGGCGAAGAGCGCCGGAAACTGAAGACCGGATGTTCATCCAGACACAAGATCACTGACGAAGCCACAAACCTCATAACGCGAACGGGCACGGAGCATACAGAAAGACGTTCCTCAAGAACCTGTTTCCATGTGCACTTCAAGGTCGACGGAGCAGTGCCTATTACAGGAGTACATGTCGTGACGAGTAATGAAACGGAGGACAGATTTTCAACCTTTCCTCACAAATGTACTCGACTTATGTACACAGCAATTGTACTGATAAATCCGCAGATATATTTTCTGTGTACCTGGCACTGATGGGTTCACAAGACACCTTTTCTTTTCATTCGAAATACCAGGTATTGAGTTACAGGATACGCAAGTTTTCGCTCTCAGAATCATAATGCGTGAAACAGTCTCGTCTTCCCACACGAAAACGTACGTCACACAATCAACTCCTAAAGGAAAAAGTTACCGTAACCAGTACGCCTCTTACTTTCCTTGATGATTCACGCGTTCGAGGCAACCTGAAGTCCTTATCTGTTTCAGTAACAAACGAATTATTCCGACACGCAGTGCAACGGAAAGAAATGTACTCCTCCACCGAAAGTCCCCCTTCCTTCAACATCGTTCACGTTAACTACTTACCCTGTGGCTCCAGAGTCCTTGAACGACCATTTTAATGGCTTTCCTGACTCTCCACGGGTTGCCTGGAAAGCATCACCACGGCCTCCTTACAAATCTGTTGCACTTTTCAGTTCATCAGATTATACCTTATAACGTCAGCAAAATATTTAAATGGCGTTCTTGTGCAAGACCTGCTTGTGACGACATGATCTGCGTCAGGGCAGACTGACGTGCAGCACACGGGAACAGACGGTATTTTTGTACGAGGTACCAAGAGCACGGCAGTGTGAGTGGCTGTATGGACCATAATCTTCACGGACTTTGCACGTCGATATGGACAGAAGCAACTTCCAGAACAAGTCTCTCCTTTTGGTACTAAGAGTTCGCCTGTTCGGTAGATAAGCTGCAAACAGTGACGTCACTAGTGCAAGTCTTTGTCTGCTTCAGGTCCATTAAAGACGGAGTGAGTGGGAGGGAGTCCCTAGAGCGGCGACGGTAGGCATGTCCGCCCGCACTCGAGAGCGGAAAATGACGCGAGTCCCATTGGATCGAGACCCGTTTTTCAATTCGAGGATTCTCGGCTGAGCAGAGAAAGAAACCAAGTCGCCTACTAACACTGCTTCTGCTCTCAGCCTGACAAGCAGGACGGCCATTTTCGTGTATTGTGCTTTAAAGTACGGAACAAAAGCAAATACTTGTAGAAAGTCATTTCTGAAAAGCGTAAACCTATAAGGATATCTGTATTCTGTGATGTTGCGCCGTGTAATCTAGACTACACGGCGCAACAGCCCAGAAGACAGCCATCTTCGGCCTCACCGCTGCCTGAAAGCCTCAAATCAGTCAGTCTTCAGTTAATGGCGGGGGGGGGGGGGGGGGGGGGGGGGGGGGGGGGGGGGGGGGGGGGGGGGGGGGGGGGGGGGGGGGGGGGGGGGGGGGGGGGGGGGGGGGGGGGGGGGGGGGGGGGGGGGGGGGGAACAAGACCCACAGATGACAGAAGGGCCTTTCCCGACCATACAGCGATAGAGCACGTGACCACTCCTCTAAATTGAGCTGCTCTACGAAGTTATTAACTCTCGCGAGAGCAGAAATGGAGGACGAAGAAACGAAACTGATGACTGAGTACGAATCCACAACATGTCTGTGTCTGACATAAATGCACACTTGAAGACCAAGAAACCTCCGAAAGGAGGCGGCGAAAACCTACGTTGGCCAAAACTATGACGTAACAATTATTCTTTCTTCAGTAAAAAAAACATGGAGTTCTTTACACTTTATTGAGGCAATTCTCAGCTGGCAAAGAGGCTTTAACAAAGTTGATGTATCAAGAAATGTAAAGATTTCGAATTATTTTTCTCAATATGTGCCCCGTTTATTAACCATCTGAAGCCGAATATCGTCTAAATATTATCTAAGAATTCAGTCCGTACCGCATGGAAAACACGACACTCGAACGGTTAATGCCGTTTAAGAAAATGATCGCTGTTTACCCTGAGAATCATACGAAACCCACAAATACACAACGAAGGGTTTCATCAAGATTTTAGGCTACTAAACATTCGAATTTCTAATTGTTTACTGGAACGTTAAATTGCAAATCAATTTTTGCCGTAAATAACAAAAGTCAGTCTAACATATTTCAACTTCTTCCAAGTGTTCATAAGTATTAACAAACACGTGTAAATATGTTGATAAATAATAATAACAATAAAATAAGAAAAAGTCTTTACCTATCTCTTCGTTCACGGGAAGGGAACTAGATGTCCACAATCGAATTAACAACAAACTTCGGAGAGTGTAAGGCAGTATTCTTCAACAGCACAAAAGTATTTTGTCTTCTACAAGCGATTCACAGCTCAGTTCTTTAAAATTAATTGTTGACGGCAATACACACTAATTAAATACAACAATGTCAACGAAAACTATGACGTAACAATGTTAATTGTTATGCCAACATTGTTACAGGCGTGACTTGTAAATTCCAAAACATTTTCTTACACTGTTTAGACACGCGGGTGTTCATATAAAAGCTGACCATTGTCGTTCGATATTTACGTTGTTGGTAGTTGAAAATAATACAACGAGAATTACTCTTTGTTATAATTTGGTTACATCCCATTCTTCCTGTAAAAATTCAACAATTCTCTATAAGAAGGAAATAAATCACAATTTCAGTTTTTATTATACTTGATTAATTTTAAAGATGATTTTTTAGGGGCCCGGGCGCTGTTGACCCCATCACCCAAGAGCGAGAGAAACACAGAACGCATTTAGAAAATCGATTCGAAAAACCGGATCACACTTTCCCACTCGTTCCTTCGATTCGTCAGGTTATTACTACATCCATGACTAAGACTGCAAAGCCAAGTTGTAGGATGCACGACCTTACTCCCACGGTTACGCTGAAAAGGACCTCCACATGTACAAAACGCTTAATAATATTTCTACATCGAGAAGCACAAACATATCCCGCCTCGAACCCGAGACCACAGTCAGCGGAGCGGAGAGCAACAAGGTGCTATGCCACACATGTTGGTGTTACTTAATCGAGTAGCAATCTGTTACAACAGCGCCACGAAAGTCTACCAATCAGTACCAACGAGGTACATGCAGCAGGCAGGGTTCCGGAAGGAGGAGAGTCCCTTCGCAGTTTGTCTGTCGTGGCACTCCGGGAGAAGGAGACACTAGAATGCTAGCGATTATTTATTGGGATCAGAATATGCCATCCTCGATGTATCGAAAAGCAAAGTAACTTCAATGCGTTACTGCGTAATGAGAAGTGGACGCGGAGGGCGTGAAGAACGCCCCCGCCATCTTGAAACGCCCTGAATTAGCCAATTAACAGCACGAACAGTCCAGTCACATCGTTTGGTAGAAATATTAAACATTACGTGAAAATAAGGTGGCCTTCGATACGAGGGGCTTGGACACTACTTCGGTACACCACAGAATGCAACATCCCAATG